ACAGACTACACCTTCTGCCGAAAGTTTATGAACGGGATATTACGGACTTCGACCTGTTACTTTATGCCATTAACCTTCCAAGTCTAAAAGAATCTGCACTAACATACTCCATGAATAGGTGTGGAGGCTAACAATTGGGTGTAGTCTTAGTATAAATCTCTTAACCCTCGTGTTGTGTCCACTTTACAACAGAGACGTAATTGGGTAGCTCACGGCCTTAGATTCGTGATCCTCGTCACCGTCGTAATCACATTGTCGCGGTGACGAGGGTTCTTCCAAAAGAAAACACATAGAAACATAAAATAATATATACAACGTAACAACTCCCGAGTCCAGTCTTCTTAAAGTAAGCGGTAAATAGATTTGTGGACATCGAATACACCGATACTGTTATTTTGGTAACGTAAACTATCCAAATGTGTTATTCTCCCTAATAGAAACCACACTTTCCACGTCTGTGTCTTTCACCAAAATTTGTGCTAGGGCACATAGGTAGTAATAGGACATGAAAGATGAAGAATGGTACAATTGGGTTATGGACATGAAAGATGAAAGGAATGTACAACTTGAGTTTATGGACATGAGTAAGATAAAGAGAATGTACAACTTGAGTTTATGGACATGAAAGATAAAGAATGTTACAAACTTGAGTTTATGTGACAGAAAGATTAAAGAATAGTACAACTTGGTTTTATGGTACATGAAGTTTATAAAGGAATGTACAACTTGAGTTATGGACATGAAAGTATGAAGAGTGTAAAACTTGTTTTATGAACATGAAGGATGAAGAGGTGTAAAACTTGTGTGTTATGAACATGAAAGATGAAGAATGTACAACTGTGTTTATGGACATGAAAGATGAAGAGGTGTACAACTTGTGTTTATGAACATGAAAGATGAAAGAATGGTACGACTTGTGATTATGGACTTGAAAGATGAAGAATGTACAACTTGTGATTATGGACTTGAAAGATGAAAGAATGTACAACTTGAGTTTATGGTACATGAAGATGAAGAGTTGTACAACTGTTGTTTATGGACTATGAAGATGAAGAATGTAAACTTGTGTTTATGAACATGCAAAAAAAGATTGAAGAAATACAACTTGTGTTTATGGACATGAAGATTGAAAGAAATGTTAAAACTTGTGTTTATGAACATGACAAGATGAAGAATGTACAACTTGTGTTTATGGACATGAAAGATGAAGAATGTACAACTTGTTTTTATGAAACATGAAAGATGAAGAGTTTACAACTTGAGTTTATCGGACATGAAAAGGATGAAGAATGTACAACTTGTGTTTATTGGACATGAAAGATGGAAGATGTACAACTTGAGTTTATGGACATGAAAGATGAGTAGTTGACAAACTTGTGAGTGTTATGGACATGAAAGATGAATGAAGAGTGTACAACTTGTGTTTATGGACAGTGAAAGATGAATGAGGTGTACAAACTTGGTTGTTTTTATGCGTACCATGAAAGATGAAGAGGTGTTACAACTTTGGTGTTTTATGGACATGAAAGATTGAAGAAATTGACAACTTGGTGGTTTTATGGACATGAAAGATGAAGAATGTACAACTTGAGGTTTTATGGACATGAAAATTGAGAAATTGGTTACAACTTGGGGTTTTTTATGGACATGACAAGGATCGAAGTAATGTACACTTTGAGTTATGGACATTGAAAGGATGAAGAGGTTGTACAACTTTAGAGGTTTTTTATGGACATGAAAGATTGAAGAAATGTTACAACTTGTTAGTTTATGGACATTGAAAAGATAGTAAGAAGGTTGTAAAACTTCGTGTTTTATGACATGGAAAGATGAAGAGTGTACAACTTTGTGGTTTTATAGGACTCGAAGATGAAGGAATGTACAACTTGGTGTTTATGGACATCGAAAGATGAAGAATGTACAACTTGTGTTTATGGACATGAAAGATTGAAGAATGTTACAACTTGTGTTTTATGGGACATGAAAGATGAATAGACAGATATTCCTCCCGCCCTGTACGAGGTCCTGTCACTGTCTCATAGCGTGAACCCTTTTCGAGGAGCAGCCTTCAGTGGGGCAGGGCATAATACTGGAGCTGTCACTGTGGCCTTCTGGGAGCCCAACACTGCTCTGGGTGGCCTTCTTCCTCTCCGGATGGCTTAAGGGTGGGTGGGGGGTCGGTGGGGAGGGGGGGCACCCTGCTGCGGCTCCATGGTCACGTGAAGGTCGGCGTTTTACTGGGAAACGCCAGAGGGGGGTGAGGGTGAGGAGGGGAGGGTGGCACGGCAGAAACAGAGAGGCAAAGAGGTGGAGATTTCACCTGAGAGAGGGAGGTGGGAATTAGTGGAGTACAAATACTTTGTTACTGTACTTAAGTACATTTTTCTGGTATCAGTACTTTACTCCACTACTTATTTTTCTGACGACTTTTTACTTTGACTTCTCACATTTTGAACACAAATACCTGTACTTTCTACTTCTTCACATGTTGAACAAATACCTGGTACTTTCTACTTTCACATGTTGAACCCAAATACCTGTACGTTTCTACTTCTTACATTGTTGAACCCAAATAACCTGTACTTTCTACTTCTTACATGTGAACCCAAATACTCTGACTTTCTCTTACTTTCCTTACAATGGATTGAACCTCAAAAAAAAATACTGTACTTTCTACTCTTACATGTTAACTCAAATACCTGAACTTTCTACTTAGCTTACATGTGAATCTCAAATACCTGTACTTTCTACTTACTTACATGTTGAAACATCTAATAACCTGAACTTTTCTACTTTCTTTACATGTTGAACACAAATACCTGTCACTTTTTCTACTTGCTTACATGTTGGAACTCAAATACCTGTACTTTCTACTTCTCACATGTTGACTCAATACCTGTACTTTCTACTTCTTACATGTTGAACACAATACCTGAACTTTTACTTCTTACATGTTGAACAAACATACCTGTACTTTCTACTTCATCACATGTTGAACACAACATACCTGAACTTCTACTTCTCTACATGTTGAACGGTCAAATACCTGTACTTTCTACCTTCTCACATGTGACACAAA